GCAGAGTTGGCTAGTCTTTACCTCGCGGCTCTGGCTTTGCGAGAGGGGAAAACAATATTATCATATTACTCCTAGTCGCGGCCAGGGGCTTCGTCGACCCAGGCCTGAAGCTTCACAAGGATGGGATGGCCGAGTTCGTCTACGAGAAGCCGCCCTTCGACCGAGGCTCCGTTTTTGTTTGCAGGTTTTGGGATGGGTTTAGGATTTAGGGTCTAGGGGCATTTTGGGCTTTTGGCGCTTTTCGGGGCGAGTTTGGGGCTTCAGGGCATTGCTGCTGTCAGGTTTCTTGCAGTGCGAACTGCTATCGTTCTTGTTATCAGAAGTGCGATCCTTACCGCAGGTGGATGTTGATTTCTCGATGGTAGGCCATTGCGCGCCGGATTCTGGCGGTCGGTGGGTGCATGCCAAGGGCAAATGGCCACTCTGACTGATAAGGCCTAGGGCTAAGGGTTTCAAATCGCGTCGCCGAGGCTTTCGGGGGAGTTGTGTAGGATCCGATCCTTACCGCAGGGTGGATGTTGAATTCTCGATGGTAGGCCATTGCGCGCCGCCGTCTGGCGGTCGGTGGGTGCATGCCAAGGGCAACTGGCCACTCTGACTGCTAAGGCCTAAGGGTTTCAAATCGTGTAGCCGAGGCTTTCCGCGGAGCTGTGTAGGGATCTCGTTCATCATCTGGGACGGGTACCGAAGCGTCAAACTTCAGCGCGAGTTCAACCAAAACAAGCTGGTTAGTGCTGGTCTTGGCAGCTTGTTTAAAGAGCTCAGGACGTACAGCGTTCCTGGTGTGGAGGCTTCTTGGCGACCGCATGGGTCAGAAGGAAAGAACAGCGCCTCACAGCTCGCCCTAAACCCTAAAAACCCTAAGCCCTCTGATAGAGGCGCAGAGGTTTTTTTGTGACACCGTGGCGAGTGCTGCATGCCCAAACACCGAAGCCCACAAGCCCTTGTTTTCAAGCCCGCAGACCCCACACCGCCCCATCCGTGTCGTTTTGATACTCGTCATCGTAGCATAGTTTGCAGAAGCAGTCGTAGTAATCGTGTTCATAGTCGTTAGGAGAGCAAGGTAAGACATAGTGACTACACCCCGGAAGCCCCTGAGACCTTTGAAGTTCAAGCTCAACCCTGAAGCCATCGTCTTCGAGGTCGTTCTGACTCAGGGCAGCGAAGGAACCTATGTTCGAGGCAGGTCCCGGGGGGTTCCTAACCTCAGGGTCTACTTTTCAAGCCCCATGCAGGGTTTCAGAGTTTAGGGTTTGGGGTTGGCTTCCCAGCTTATCAGCAGAGTCTGGGTTCAAAAGGGTTGGCATGTGTTGTGGCTCCTGTTGTCGGTAGTACTTCCGCAGGTGGGGCGGTCAATGTTCCACGTCCTGCTGCGAACAGGTCTGACGCTTCGAATACCTGAGAGAGAGAGAGAGAGAGAAAGAGAGAGAGAGAGAGAGAGAGGGAGAGGGTTTAGGGTTTAGGGCTTCACACAACTCCGGGCGAAGCGGAAAGCCTGTTGCGAAAAAGGGCTTTGTGAAGTTCGAGTATCACGGATAGGGTCGAGGAAAGGCCCTTGGGGTTCCGCACGGGATTCAGACAGAGAGGGCACCATGGGTTTGTTGTCCTTGTGGGGGCTGAGGCAACAGTTTCCCAAAGCCCATTGCCATGTTGTTCGGGGTTCGAGTTCGGTGCCAGCCGTTTGGGCAGCTACGAAAAGCCCGCCCTCCCCTTTTTTCCCCCTTTGTGCTTGTCGGTTCGGTGACAAGCCTTGCAGGCATGTCCAGGGAACACGGGCGCTTCCAGCAGGAGCAGGCTGGTATACCTGGTGTGCCTGGACCCGAACCCGGTCATCGAAACGGAACTGATGTCCAATGGCAGTGGTGGTGGTTGAAAAGGATTCCCCTGCATTGCGCACTGATGGTAGCAGAGCAAGAGAAGCGGCAATATCAGCTCCGCTAGGAGTCTTGAAGTCGTCGCAGAGGTCGTTGAAGCGTTTAGGTGGGCGGGTGGCCTCGGATTTCCAGTGTCCCGAATCCACGCCTCGGCATTGCTTTTTCACGCTTGAGTCCCTTGAAGGCCTTGGGCCGGACAATTCCCAGACAATGCCCGACGCAAGACTCCATCCTACCCGGGGCTTGAACGTGAATGTACGGAGCGCATTGCTGCACCTCGAATGATGTCTTTTGTGTTGACACAACTCCACACAAAGCCTCCTTCCCAGCAATTCACGGTTCGTGCAAATCCAAGGGGTCCTGAAACCACAATCGCCGTTAGCCCTAGTCCCGTAGCGTCCTTCAAGCAAATGCCCCACAGGCCTAAACCCTTACCGCGATGCAGGTCATTCTCTTGGCCATGGTCAAGGACGTAAATGGGCCGACCAAACCTTCAGATGAGACTTCGCGTGTAGTTTTTGGATGTTTTTGGTATACGGGTTTCGTGTAGCACCCACCAGGCTCTGTTGCAGCTGGAGGAGGAACCAGCAGCATAAACGGACATTTGTCGGGCCCCTGTTCTGGTGCACTTGTTTCGTGCCTTGAAAAGTCCTGTCAGGGGGTGATAGGGGCTGGGAAGCCTGTGCTGAAGTGTTTCATCTGGGTAAGTATTGCCTCTGCCAGGAGGGCCAATTCGACATTGTTCAGAGCCGAGGTCGTCTGGAAGGCGGTCTGGCATCATCTTGAGACCCAGAGACGAGGAAACACAAAAACAACGTCCGGTAAATTTGAATTGTGCACAAGCGGTGGCAGCGGCGGCAGAAGCAGTTTGTTGTTCGACCATTGCCTTCCTACAGATTTTGCCCGAAGTTGTCAGAGTGTGGGAGAATGAATCCTGCTGCCATACAAGAAAGGGAAGAAAGGGTTGTCATGAAAGGTGGTTCGTCACCAAAGCGGCAGGGGCCTGGTGTCGTCCGAGCGTGAGATTCGGAACCCTGAGCCGAAAGCCGTAAGGTGGCTCTCCACCTGTCGGACTGCCCGTTGGTGCAGCCTTGGTGAAGCAGGCGCGGGTAGTAGAGTTTTATGGTGGCAGGGTCAGCCACCCAAGGTGTTCACGCGTTTGGACAGGATGTGTTTAATGTAGGCGGCAGGGGCAGGCTTTGTGGAACATTTTCCATAATCATACTCAGGTCTACGCGGGGACATTCGCTAGGCCCCCGCCGAAGCAGCAGTAGCAGTAGTAGTAGTAAAGGTAGTAGTCGTGGTGGTGGTGGTGGTAGCAGCAGTGGGTAGTGGCAGTGGGAGCAGCAGCAGAAGCAAAAGTTTTGCAAGCAACACTAGGAACCGTAAATCCCCAAGGCTATAAACCCTAAGCCGCTATCCCAGGACGTTGCGGAAGCGGCCTCAGACGTCAGGGCTTGGAGCGTGTGCATGAGCCTGTGTCCATCTTCAAAAGTTTTTTACTTGCACCTTTTGAGGACAAGGTGCCCTTCGATCGCATCTTCCGGCACCATCCTGAGTAGTCGCAGCTGTAGCAGCAGCGGCAGACGTAGCAGTAGCAGTAGCAGTGGCAGTAGCAGTAGCAGTAGCAGCAGCAAGATCACGAGGGTGGTGGTGGCGGTGGTGGTGCCCTGGTGATGGCAGTGGTAGAGGTAGCGGCAGTGGTAGTGGTGGTGGTAGTAAGAAGTCGTCGTCATCGTAGCAGCAGGTGTTGAAGCACGGCCTTTTCGTACAGGTAAGAGCTTTAGGTGCTCTTTGTCAAAACCCTCGTTACTGGTGTTGACAGTCAGGAAGAGAAATCTTGCTGCTGTTGGTATAGGCAGCAATGAGATGCGCAAGCTGCTGGACCACAAATCGTTTAGGAGAAGCATGATGATGTAGCCAAACAATGCTTTCGCTCATGAGCATGGTCAAGCTGGTCTTCGGGGTTCCGGGTCCTCGGATCAGACACGGTCTAGTCTATCCATGATCTGGCCTTCGGAGGTATTACCTATGAAATTTCCCAATGGGACTGTTGAAGATTGTTTCGTTTCACCTTCTCTGTAAGACAGTTTCACCCACATCACCGGCCGCTTCGCTTTGAATCGAAGCCATGTGTGGGGCGGCCGGTGGGCCTCAGGTTTGCGAGTCATCCTAGAGGGGTGTTCAACAATCTAGGAAAGTAATGCAGTTCCTCCGGAAGGTCTACAACGCTAAACCCGAACCGTATGCCTGGCCTGGAGTGTCCAAGTGTGAGCGCCAAAATCAACCATCGACCTCGAACCCAACACCGAGCAGTCAAGGCGCGGACGTGCTTGGCTCGCTTCGGTTTTCTGGATGTATGTCCCCTTCCTACAGAGTCATCCTTGCTTAGTGGGCGCCGTCCGGCCAGGCGCGCGAGGCGCACTGAGCTGTGAACAGCAGATTCCATGTACTTCGGCGTCAATACCTGTTCAATAGCCAGACCCCAAACTCGGAGTTCTGAATCCATATAAACCCCAGACGCCAACCCTTGCAACGGCAGCGAGAGAGAGAGAGAGAGAGAGAGAGAGAGAGAGAGCGAGAGCGAGCCCCTAAATGCTAAACTCCCCCCGCAACAGCCCCCCCACCGAAAGCTGCACGCCCCAACCTCCGTGGCACCACTTGGTCGGATGGCCGGCAGAGCTCCTCACATGCTCGGAAAAAGGACTTCTCTTAGGAAGCCATGCTGGAGGGCGCGGGTCTCTAGGTCTGCAGAGCTTCAGGTTTAAGTCCCGCGGGTTGAGGGTGTAGGCTTCGGGTCATCTGCTACTTCTCATGGCCCCTTGCAGAGTTCAAGGTTTATCCGTTCTTGAAGGGTTTTGACCTCGGGCTGCTGGGGTCATGGTTTGGTTGTCTTTAATCCAAAGCCTGAGCCCGTCCCAAACCGTAAGGACTTAAGGGGGACTTGAAGTTAAACAGGATATCGTGCGCTGCCTTGGCACAGAGAGGGGCAACGCAAATACGGGCCGCCGATGATTGGTCGAAAGTGGGGCCTTCTCAACTTAGTCACGACTGCTCGGGCCTGGCTTGCACTAAACCCTCGCTTTCTCTGAGTGGCGACAGTCGAAATTCCGGCTTCGCCTCCAGCCCAAAAGCTTGACTCCTGAAGCCTTGAACCCCTAAACCCTAAACCCCTAAACCCTAAACCCTAAACCCTAAACCCCTAAACCCCTAACCCCTCTTATAACCCTAGACCGTTAAGCTCGACAGCCCGTTAAGGGGCTCTTGGTGGCACCTGGAGCCGCTGCGCCTGGCCTTGCGCTGCCGGGACCGGCGAGCTGCCGGTAAGGTGCCGGCCCTGGGTTGCGTGGGATTCGTGTGGGGGGTTAGGGTTTAGGGTTTAGGGTTTAGGGTTTGGGGTTTAGGGTTTGGGGTTTAGGGTTTGGGGTTTTGGGTTTAGGGTTTGGGATTCAGGGTTCAGGGTTTGGGGTTTGGGATTTAGGGTCTAG